GGATTCAACCAAGGATGGCTTGGGGACGTCTAGCCTGCAATCACTGACTCTAGACGACTCACTGGTGAAGCCCAGAGGGGGCTCAAAGCCTACAACTAGCCTTGCCCAAGGGTATCATATCCCAAGCAGTGAAAACAATACTGGGGTGGGACAAACGTGGATTTTACTTCTGACTGTACTTTGGACAAATGATCTAACCTCTTAAGGTTCCAATGCCCTCACCTGCAAGATGGAGATCGTGGCAAAGACTGGCTAAGTATTTTTCAAGGTGGTTCTTCTTGGACACGAAGCTAGACTACATTTCTTTGCTTTCCAGACGTGACCACGGGACTGCGCCAACGAAAGGTGAGCAGAAGTGATGGATGCTACGTGTGGTCCTCCGAGCTCTTCCTCCCCTCGGTGATAGAATGGAGATGCCTGCAGGCATCTTGGGAGCTACACAGTGAGCACGGTCTCTGGGTCACCCGCGGCCACTGGATCAGGAACACCAAAGTGGATCACTGCACCGGCAAAACCTGAACAATTTCCGTGTTGAGTCTCCGAGAGTTGGGGTTTATCTGATATAGCTGTTAGAGCTACCTTAACCCCTACAGGGGGGACCACAGCACGCTTGTCTCATGAGCTTTCTGCGAGGGTTAAATGAGATGATGCTTGCAAGCCCTCACTCTGTCTGCTACGCAATGAGCGTTCGCTATCAAATGTTAACTCTTTAGCAAGGAGGAGCCGGCATGCCTGGATAATAGACGAAATGGAGGCACTTATGACTTAAAAACCTGGAGGCGAGGTTGCACAGATTTCCACTGGTTGGCCAGTTGGGTTTGAAAAGTCACCTTCGGTGTAAGCGTTTGGTGTTTTAAAGAATATGCTAAACAAAAATAATCTATGCTCCCTGGAAATATTAACTGTTATGCATTCCATGACACAACAAAGTATGTACTTACTCTAACGGTGCTTCCATCTTGAACTCCAGAATCTCTAAACTCAAACAGTGAGAAATCATATTTGGTGCTTAAAATCGGTAAACCAGATTTTGGACTGGTGTGCTCAAGTCTTAAAGCCCCGGTTACAATGGTTCTCATGATGCTTCACTGCGGCCTTAGAAAATGTTCCCTTTTGTTAGGGAAGAGTTTAACAGTGATCTTGGGAATTCATTCTGGTCTAGGCTCTAAACGCTAAGGGAAAATGTTGGTACTTTTCCCTCCGCGGCGTTCCAAGGTGCAGCTTGGCTGGTAATCTCTACAGGGCAGAATGAGTCAGCGGTCTGAGTCACTTTACCAGAATGTATCCCATGTGTTCTGTTCCAGGTCTCAAATAGCAGAGTGGCTGGTCATGAGGAGGCCCCGGGCTGAGAGCACAGCAGAACCCTAGAGAGAAAACAAGCCCTAACACTTCCCTCAGACTCCAGCTCCAAATAAAGGAGTCGAAATGTCAAGGGTAGAAAATCCCCACTGTTCCTCATTTAAAGGAAATTGATTTGAAATGAAAGTAAGCGGAAGCAGCAACACATCAAATGTGCTTAGCAGGCAATGGGTTCATTCAGACAGTCTTGTAAGTTTTATTCCTTGAAATTGTCGGGAAATGACTACTTTTACAAAAGTATACTTTACTGGTTGAATTGTGTCCTCCTCCCCACCCCCAGATTTATATATTGAAGTCCTAACTTCCAGTACCTCAGAATGTGACCTTATTTGGACAGAGGGTCGCTGCAGATATAGTAAAGATGAGGTCATTGAGTGGGCTCTAATCCAGTATGGCTGGTGTCCACATAAAAAAGGGAAAATTTGGACACAGACAAGGAGAGAGGAAAGATGATGGGAAAATAAAGGCAGAAGGGTGCCCTGGTGGCTCAGTCGTTAGGTTGACTAGTCGTTCGTCAGACAAGCGTCTGACTCTTGCTTTCGGCTCAGGTCATGATCTCACGGTTTGTGAGTTTGAGCCCTGCACTGAGCCCTGATTTGGGTTCCCTGCTGTCAGCAAAGAGCCCACTTTGGATCCTCTGTCCCCCACTCTCTCTGCCCTTCCCCACTCACGTGGGGAATATGTAGTGTGTAAGCCCCACAAGATGTGTGCTATATTTGGACTCAGAACAACCTGGAGGTCATGTGAAAGGGAGAGCATATCTTCTCCGTGGTCCTAGCCTCCAAGTCCTCCTTGTTAAGAAGGGCTCCCCCTCTGGCCATGCTTCTGGTAAAGGCCACTTTTTATCTACTGCTCCTCAAAGTTACATTCATTCTGACCTCATATGGAGCAGAGCACCGAAACTCTGTATCATGACAATTATTTGCTTTCTGTGGTAGATCTTTCAATAATGTCTACAACACTGATTAGATTACAACTCTTATCTGTGATATATACTATCATGAAAATGAGAAAGAAAGGGGTTAGTAGCTTTCTCCTTACAACGTGGAGGGCCAGAGGTGACCCAGCTGTCAAAGCAATGGTTTTACCTCCTAAACCTAATTTACCTCAATTAACTTAAAATATTGTCTAACTGTGATTGAATAAATACATGAAACGAGCTTGAAATTAATGGAAGACACGATAACTATTTCAGTCCTAAGCTGGTCCTTTAGACTTAATTTTGCAAGAGTTTCAGAGAATGTTATAAACAATGGAGAATTTATAAAAGTCATCAGGAAGTAGCTAAGTCTTGAGATACGCTGAAGTATCTACAAGACTATGAAACTTAGAAACTATGAGACTTAGAAACTCATAGGAACTGGGGCGCCTGGGCGGCTCAATTGGTTGGGTGACCCACTCTTGATTTCAGCTCAGGTCATGATCTTATGGTTTGTGAGTTTGAGATCCACGTTGGGCTCTATGTTGATGGCTTGGAGCCTACTTGGGATTCTCTCTCTCTCCCTCTCTCTGCCCTGCCCCTGCTAATGCTCTCTCTCTCTCTCTCAAAATAAATAAATAAACTTTAAAAAGATTTAAAAAAAAGAAACCCAGAGGAACTAAAAATATTTCTTTGAGAATCCAAAGGGCGTTTAGACAGCTGCTCCAAAACACACAGAATAAGATTGTGGGTATTCCATCATGATTTTAAAAAGTGAGGTCCATGGGAATGGAAAGGAGGCTGAAATATAATCAAATGTGAGTAGGGATCAGAAAACACCACATCACAGGATGCTCTGTGGAGAAAACCAAACTCTTCCCTTAACTGGGAGATTTTTTCCAACAGACAGACTAAATAAATAACGTGCGTTTTCTCTTTCAAAGAAATCATAGGAAGTTACTAAGGAGATGCTTTCCCATTTCTCAGTCATCTTTACTATCCCCATTATGCACAAGTGAAAAGCTCTCATTCAGCTGATGGGAGTTTAATCTGTGTACCCTTCTTTACATATACAAATGTCCTTCCTCCTCCCAGAAGATCATATAGTGTTTCCAGAGATATACTTAACTGCCTGATTAATTACTGGACCTCTACGTAAATTACTGTAAACATGTAGATGATCATTTTATCACTTATTCAGCTCGACCAACATTTACAGTTTAACATATCTGACAAAGCCATTTATATACCCCTATAATATAACTAAAGGTACGTGAAAGCTATGGTAAGTCTATAATAATAGCCTTAAAATAATTTGCTAACTACAGACAGTTCCCTAAGCAATTACAAGATGCTGTATGTTAATTCAGAAAGGAACTCCAAACAAGGCATTTAAAACCTAATAAGATGCCATTAAATGAAGGGAGACAGGGGAGGGAGGAGGGGAAAGAAAACCCTAAGGCTTGAACTAGGAGAAATGATTCTCTGAGCTACTGACCCTTGCAAGATCCACGTTTTCCTTGGATTTCTATACACAAAGCAGATTTCTAATTGAAGGTGATTATCTAGTTACTACATCCCAAATTGCATGTGTTTCTTGTATTGAGTCACATCCACATCTAATTATATGGAACATTTATCAATATGAAAGTCCATAGAAATAATTGAGTCAACCTACAAACTACATACAATGAGAACGTGCTCTATAAACCATGAGGCACTGTATAACCACCAAATGTGATTATCTCCAGTGACAACAGTCTGCCTCCTGGTACTCATATGGATCTATTCAGATTGACATCTGAATTATGATGTCAATCCACTGGGAATAAACTTTCCACAGAAATTACAGAAAAAAAGCACCTGGTTTGCTCTTGGTTTTTCTGAGGTATGGATACCTCTTGCGTACCTGCTGGTCACTAGAAATACACACGTCGATATCGTCATCAACACCATAAGGAAAAAGAAAAAGCATGGCAACACACAATTCTAAAAACAAAAATACGAAGTGCTATACAGCACTTTTTGTCGCCATAAACTTGAGAGCTGAGTGCCTCGATCAAGGCGACGTAACAGTAAAGAAATATGCAGGCTTCTTCATGGCACAAATGTGCTTCTGTAAAATATCATCCCTGTTAGTTAGGTTAATTAAGATGAACATACAAGTCATTGAAAACCCCCAAAGTCGACAAAAGATAATTTACCAAGGAAACACACAAAGGCAAAAGTAATATTCACTCTGAGTCATTCATTTAACAGATTGGAAGGAGCGTCTTATGAATACTTGAGCTGTCACCATTGATTACCAAAAATGACACGCATCCAAATAGCTTACAAGGGCCAAAGGACAACCTGTTTTCCTACAAAAGTTCGATGGACAATGTGGGCTGGTGCACAGAACGAGTGGAAGTGAATCTGATCCCACATACAATCGCCGCTATTAAGCGGTCTATACATACGCACACATACAAACTTGAGTATTTGCGTTGTAGGTTTTGTTGTACTCAGATGAATGAAATAGCACTCATCCTGGGAATTCACGTTTGGCATTTTTCATTGACTTAGCACAGTGTTTCCATCCAAAATAATAACCTGCATTCCTAGTCAAATATATCACAACGAAGCATTCAAAGCAAAAGACCAACACTGACTTATGCTGTAGAATAATCTTTTGTAAAATTTGTCATTGCCACCCCCCCAAAATAAACATTCCCACCCTTACCTCGAGGGTCATGTTCACGGTACTGATGGCCACTTTTATTTCTCCATCGGACAGTTCTTTTATGTCCTTCAGCATTGTCTGTTCAATACTTAAACCTACAGATGAGAGGGGAAAAACATTATTTACACTTGGGGAATTGTTTTGGGTACTATCAAGGGAATATGTAAAGAATTCACCCTGTTAATTTCAATGTATTCTCCCAATAAGATCTCTTTTACCCATAACGAGCACACACATTAAAAGCAAAAATCACATCAGAGACAGTATTTGCACCAGTTAGGTTCCTAGCAAGAAATAGAATTCACCCCTCATCACACACACACACACACACACACACACACACACACACACACAGAGTTTTTAATGGTAGGACACATACAGAAGTATGGGTGGGGCCAAGAAAATGAATAAAAGATGGTGAGGCATCCAGACACTGGCAAAGGGACAAGGGAAGAAACAGACCTGAAAGTACAGGAGAGGGGCCGTCAAAAACTTAGCGTCAAATCAGTAAGGACGCAAGGGAGAAATAGTACAGCCTCTTTATTCTCCTTCCTTGGATCCTCACATCCCATGTGTTACTAACGCTTTTCACTAACCAGAAGGCAGAGGATTAAACACTCAGAGGTCAGCCTCTAGAGGCCCACAGCAGACCAGGGCAGAGAATGGAATGGGGAGGAGTGAGCCAATGACAAAAACCTAACATAATCATGCAAGCTAGCTAAGGAATACATCGCAAGATCAAAATTTGCTTTCAGGATGGATTCAGTTGGGCCTTCATACTTTCTATTGTAATTTAATTCAAAGTGCACTTCATAGGGGCACCTGGGTGGCTCAGTTGGTTAAGCGTCCGACTTCAGCTCAAGTCATGATCTCGCGGTTCATGGGTTCGAGCCCTGCATGCGGCTCTGTGCTGACAGCTCAGAGCCTGGAGCCTGCTTCGGATTCTGTGTCTCCCTCTCTCTCTGCCCCTCCCCCACTTGTGCTCTGTCTCTCTCTCCCTCTCTCTGAAAAATAAATAAATGTAAAAAAATTAAAAAAAATTACAACTCTCTACCAATCACAGCAGTGTGGGGAAACAGATGGGTATGAAATATTTTCCTTTGACTTGAAGACTAACAGGCCACAATCTATCATACGGCAGCATAAAATGAGTTATAGAATATGTTGTGACATTAAAATCTTGGTCTAGTCTTGAAAGTGAATGACATAAACTCACCCCATCGTGGGGCCACACTTACACCTACACGCACGCGTGTACATTGGGAGCAAATGCGCCGGGGCCCCGCCCACACGTCCTCACACCTTCCGTGGCCGTGTGCCCCGCCATGACGCCCAACCACGAAAGCCCGCTCTGGGGGGGATTAACAGCCCCCGGGACTGAGCAGCCCCCAACAGTCCAGTGGCATGCTGGTAAATATTTAACAACCAACAGCGAAGCTTGATCTGTAGCGTTTGTTCATCCCTGTGGTGGCAATACTCCCACCAGGGCTGATTTCCAGCTGCCAACCCAACATAATCCAATTCACAAAACTTCTGAGTTTTAACAACTGGCCCCTGGAGCTTGGATGAGCAAGTTCTAACACACTTGGGATCTAACACACATGGGATAACACTGAGGTACAATTCTTCTCTCTTTACCCGGGCTCCCCCCCGCAGGGTGACGTTATGGCTTCCCACAGAGCTAACCTGCCCCATAAACCCCTCCGTCCCCTCTCAGTGCTTCTTGGGTTCCTCTCCAAAATAAACTGCTTTGCCTCTGGCTCTGTCCCCGGGGGATTCCAAACTGAGGGAGAAAGCTTTGTCTGGGGCTGGCCTGGTCACTCGCCAGCTGTGTGCGTGATGACCAGAAAGCAAAGCCGCCCTTCTGTGCCTCAGTGTTCACATCTGGAAACTGGGGGTAATACCTGTCAGGATTGTCATGAAGACTCATATAATCCGTGCCAAGTTATTCCAGCATCCGTGAATTATATTTGTCTCTCATCACGATGAAACAACTGAGCCAGGAAATCCACTGTCTTGATAAAGCTTCGATTTAGAGAATAATTTTATCTGCTTAGCTGTCTTCGCTCTTTCTTTTTCTTTCTAAAATTAATTGATTTATGAAATCCCGTTGTACTTGACATTGCTCCTGCCACATTGCTCAGAATAGAACCTTCTCGGCACAGGGATTTCATGTAATGAGGCATCCGGGGTGCACGTTAGACCCGTGAATTACCCATACATGCAGACGCAAAGGCCCCAGAGGTGAGTGTGTGGTACGGGCTGCCTGCTTCCAGGCGAGTCAACATCATGTGCCTGACAATCTTCCACAAGCACGGACAGTAGGGAAGAAAACAAAGGCGCTGGCAACGTGCCACCCCAGAAACCATCCCTACTCAGGCGCTTTGACAGAGAGCCGGGGGACAGAGTCACTCACCCTGAGCACTGAATTGGGTCTCCTGCAGGACGTTGATGATGTCCTCTCTCGGAGGCAAGCTGGGAAATTTTTCTTCCAGGATAGAGAGAATTTCTTCCTGCTTCTCTGAGATCTTCTCGGATTCCATGGTCATCCACTTGAAAAGGATGCTACCTAAAAGACATGAATGAAAATGGCCTTTCACTTTCCAGCCAAGCCAGGATAGGAGCCAGGAAAATCCATGTTTTCTGGCTTGTCTATCCATACTTCCACTTTCAGTTTCTTGTCTGGACCAGAGGCCTCCATGGAGTAGCTTTCAAGAGGCAGGTGTTAGAAAACGCTTCAGATACTGTCTGCCCCGCCTCTCTGATCGCCAGGTATTCATCTCTGCAAATGTAACAGCCTATTGCACACTTCGTAGGACAGAGTTTATGGGTAAAGGAACAAAATGGATAGCTTTCCCCACCCACACAAACCTACAAAAATGATATACATGTTTTTATCATTTCAGAATGGAATTTAAGGGCAAACTCTTTTAAAATACTAATATTATTTACTATTTCCCTTTAATATTCCCTTTAAGAGACCACAGAGGAGACTGCTTCCACTCATCACATTACACATTACAGGGTTCACATATGAACTTCTTCCTTTTAACAACTCAAGGACTGCATAGTCTGTCAGCAGGAAAGGAATCGGACAAGGTGGTGAATCTGGAGCCCATTCTCAATCTCCCAGGAACCACATACTTCTTCTAAGTTACTGTTATCCATTTATAAGAATTCACAAGCTGGGGGTAAATTACAGGCCTCCATTACACAGTAATTTGCCAACAGGAATGACCTTCCTCTGACAAACTCCTGGAATTTTCTGTGCACAATCTCACCATGAAAAGGAGGATTTGCCACTTGTCACATCCCCTTCCCCTGTATCTTGATCCGGGCTAACATGGAGCCACGGGGGAAAGAAAAGTTTTACTTATGATGAATGACGAAACTCTCTATAAGTCTCCACACCTGTTGATTAATCAAGGTGTCACCATCTCTCCCAACATGGGGCTCGAACTCATGACCCTGAGATCAAGAGCCACCTGTTCCACTGAGCCAGCCAGGTGCCCCACCACTTGCCCATTTTAAAACAGAAATAGGGGCGCCTGGGTGGCGCAGTCGGTTAAGCGTCCGACTTCAGCTCAGGTCACGATCTCGCGGTCTGTGAGTTCGAGCCCCGCGTCGGGCTCTGGGCTGATGGCTCAGAGCCTGGAGCCTGTTTCCGATTCTGTGTCTCCCTCTCTCTCTGCCCCTCCCCCGTTCATGCTCTGTCTCTCTCTGTCCCAAAAATAAATAAATGTTGAAAAAAAAAATTAAAAGAACAAAAAACAAAACAAAACAAAAAAACAGAAATAATACTGCTTTCCCAGCTTGCAAAGTTATATTGAGAATCAATGAATGCAAATATCATAATAACAGTAAATATGCCAAATATATTTAAAGCATTTCATTCATTCATTCATTCATTCATTCATTCCTTCAACAAAGAAGCACTTGCTATGGGCAGGGCACAATGCTAGATGCAATGATTCAAGACTGAGATACAGACATTCATACCCCTTGAAGCTCATAGTCGTTTAGGGGCTACAAATAAGTAAACACATACAATTCGATCATTAGAGGGACGAGGAATATCACTGGGGAATACACAGTAGTCTAGATCTAGACCAGAATCTAGGAGTCACAAAAAGCTTTGTAGAGAGAGTTAACCTTGGCTGAGACTTGACGGAAAACTTAATGTAAAGTAAGAAGATCATGGTCACGTAGACCATGTGCAAAGGCACTGAGGTGGGAGAGGCTCTGGAGGGATTCTTACAAAACGTAAATGTCAGGGGCACCTGGGTGGCTCAGTCGGTTAAGCATCCAACTCTTGATTTCAGCTCAGATAGTGATCTCACGGGTGGTGGGACTGAGCCCCGTGTTGGACACTGCACTTACAGTGAGAAGCCTGCTTGGGATTCTCTCTCCCTCTCTCTCTCTCTGCCCCTCACCCATCCCCCCCCCCTTTCTCTCTCACTCAAAAATAAATAAATACACGTTAAAAAAAAGAATCCCTCTAGTTACCAAGCAGAGAATGAATCAGACAAAGCATACCAGGAGAATTAGAAGGCTGTTTTAGATGAGAATCAAGGAAGAAGCAGTCCACAGGCAGAGAAGTGGACGGATTCAAGATAAATTATCATTTAACGGTGGGGAGCAGCCAGCTGGATTCTTCGGTCTGACAATTTCTGGCACAGAATCCAAAACATAAAGGTGGCTTTTCCACTCTTTGTTGAGGCAACGGTGAGTGTGAATTTCAAAAAAGACCCTCATCTGCTTCTGGCTCTGATAAACTACTTGTACCAAGAACAAGGAGAAAAGCTAGATAAAAGACCAAAAAAAAAAAATTACACTAAAATATATTTTAAAAAACCTGTGATGACATCAGGCAGTTACCCAGGTGACCATCTTAAAAGTGAAGATCCTGGAGAGAAGGAAAGCGCGAAGGGGTGACGCCCACGCTTGGTGTTGTTCGTCCTCTCTGGGTATTTGTTAATTTAGAAGTTGTAGCTAATGAGATAAGAAGATTCACACACCTAACAATAGTTTCACAGGGATAGGGAGGCAAAAATTGAGGTTTAGGGCTCTCTGCAGAGAAGGAGTCTCGGGTTAAATAACCCAGGTTTTGAGAGGAGGCCCCTGGAGAGCCATACCCTGGGAAAGAGTTTGGAGAAAAATGATCTGCAGGGTGAGTCTGGTCCACCACCAGATTTTCTCAATAAAGTTTTGGTGGAATACAACCACACTTATTAACGTTGCTCATGGATGTTTTTGTGCTATAATGATGGTGTGAGTAGTTGCAACAGAGACTGTAGGCCTGCAAAGCCTAAAATATTTACTGCTTGACTTTACGCCGATAAAGTTTGCTGACCTCTACCACAGCCAAAGGAGGAAGCAAGAATAGATTAGTCCTCAAGACGACACAAGTCCTGATTTGAGTCAGCTCAAACACAAAATAGATGAAGTTTCTCTGACATTCTTCTAGCTACCTCTGATGCCAGAAGCCTGTCCTCTCTGGAGCAAACAAATCTCATCATCCATTGCTTCATTATCTCTACATCTTTCATGTATGCTGTTCAGCAATCAATGACAAATTACCAGGCATTAAAAAATATATATATGATCAAATGACTGAAAAGTTCAGGGGGAAAAAAAACTCATGAGAGAAGGAATGGAAACAGAACTAGAGGGAATTTTTAAAAAGGAGCTGGAGAATTACAGTAGAGAATTAGAATCTATAAATAAAATATGCAAAAGAAATTTTTAAACTGCAAGTTTAATCATTGAATGTAAGAACTCAAAACAAAACAGGCATGCCTGGGTGGCTCAGTTGGTTGAGTGTCTGACTTTGGCTCAGGTCTTGATCTCACAGTTCGTGGGTTCCAGCCCCGCGTCGGGCTCTGTGCTGACAGCTCAGAGCCTGGAGCCTGCTTCGGATTTTGTGTGTGTGTCTTTCTCTGACCCTCCCCTGCTTGTGCTCTGTCTCTCTCTCTCAAAAAATAAAATAAAGGGGCGCCTGGGTGGCTCATTCAGTTGAGCGTCCGACTTCAGCTCAGGTCACAATCTTGCAGTTGGTGTGATCGAGCCCTGCATTAGGCTCTGTGCTGACAGCTCAGAGCCTGGAGCCTGCTTCTGATTCTGTGTGGGTGTCTCTCTCTCTCTCTACCCCTCCCCTGTTCATGCTCGGTCTCTCGCCCTCAAAATAAAATAAGCATTTAAAAACTAAATAAGTAAAATAAAAAGTTTAAAAAAAAAACGTATAAAAAGAACTCAAAAAATATGTTCAATGACAGATGAGATCCACTGAGAAGATTAGTAAATTGGAAACTAAGTCAGAAGAAAATCTCCATGCTGAAGTATGGAGAGACTAAAGGGATGAAAAATCTACAGATGAGCATAAGAGACCCAGGGAACATGGAGAAAAGGCCTGACATACATGCAATGGAAGTTTCCCTTGGAGGAGAGAAAAACGGGACTAAGATTATATTTAAAAAGGCAACAGCCAATCACCTTTCAAAATTAATGAAAGATATTACTCCACGGTATTTGTGTTCAACTATGAACCCAAATCAGGATAAACACAAAGAAAAGACCTCTAGCCATATGACACTAAAACTGCTAAAAATTACAGAGAATAGAAATTTGAAATCAATCAGAAAAAGACAACATGACGGTCAAAGGTACAACAGCAAAAGGGAGAGCTGACCTCCTCCAAAATGACGAAAGTCAGAAGACAATGGAATTGTCTGCAAAGTACGGATAGAAAATAATTGCCAATCTAAATTTCTGTACTGAGTGAACACATGAAAAAATGAAGGCAAAATAAAGACGTTTCCAGAAAAATAAACTGAAATGGTCTGCCAAGAGAAAACCCACACTGAAAGCAAGTCGGAGCAGAAGAAAACCATTATATGTGGAAGCAAAGAAATGAAGGAAAAAAAGAGGCGCACTGGAGAACGAGCATACGTGGATAAGAATAAATCAATGTTCATGGCATAAAACAATTGCAATATCTTATGGAGTTTTAAACTTATGCGTGATTAAAATACATTCCAGTGGCAACAAATTGCAGAAGGGACCAAGTAGAGGAAAATCGCTCTACGGTTCTTGGATTGTCAGGAAAGTGATCAAAATATCAATTTATATGAAATTAGAATTGTATGTGGTAACATGTATGTAACCACTAAAATAGCTTTCTTAAATAACTGATATCTCACAAACCAATGGGGGGAAATGTAATAGCAAAAATACTTTAATACAATAGGAGTAAAGAAATAAGGAAACGGAAGAAATGTGAGACAAGTTGAAAACAAACAGCAAAGGGGCGCCCGGGTGGCTCA